ATATTTTTCAATCTCAAATAACAGATCTGGTTCTTCATAATAATGATAAATATTTAAAAAAAATGCGGTTGGATATTTATACAAGAAATGTGTATTTACATATATTTTCTCTTTTTAAAAATTTAAAACATTTGACAATTGTTTCTGCTTCTCTGAGCGAGTATCCATATTTCGTACTTTATAATCTACCACCAACTACTTGTTACTCTTCGTCTCTTACTGTATTATGTATTAATGTGCATGAATTTCAAGATTGTATCTGTTTGCTTGATGGTCGACTCAAACAACTAAGTACATTTATCGTTCAAATTCATTATATCTTCAATATGAAATCGATCAATCTCAATAAGGTGAGTTCATACTATTGTTGTTGTTGTTGTTGTTTCAAGTTAATTTATAATATTGACGATGATATGATTCATGTTAATACATAGTATGAATACTACAATAGAATATTGAATAGAACATGATAGTTATTTGATCATTCTCATTGTATTAGCAATAAAGAGAGCTTTTACTTTCCTATTATTTGAAAATGATTGTTTAATATTTTCTCATTAATTGATTTTTTTTGATTTTGTTTTTCTAAATATTTAAGAGACCATCCATGAGGGAACCGAGAATCACCCCAGTAGACGAGACACTGATCAAAATTTAAATTTTTGATATTTTATGTGCATCCGAAAGGCCATCATCTGAAAGCACTAAACCCAAATTTTTAGCTCATTTGGATGTATTATAGAAAAGTTAGTCTGGATCGACTTTTGAGCACTATTTACCTACTATCAAAAAACTAGTCATAAATCGTCCCATAAACGTTTACTAGGATTATACTTCTACAAATCACAGAATTTTTTCATGCAATATATTAAAAGATAGAGGATCAACAGTTGCAAAAAACGAGCTATTTAAATTATTATATACCATATATTTACTGAGGTTTTATAGTCCGATATGGGTGGAAACTGACACAATTTATGAGTTCATTTTGGTCGATTTTTGGCAGTATATCTGCTGCTATTTTCTTAAATCAAAAGACTACAAACGAAGAAATGATGATAGTATTCGAATAAATCATACTACTTTAGGACATACCGATGAAAATATTTTCTAGAAGAAAATTTTGTATTTATGTAGAATGTGTCAAAAAATGATAGTTGTACTTTAGAAAGGAGAATTATTTTAAGGATATATGATGATGAATATCTGAATTTGGTTGAAAATAAAAATGTTGAAAGAGAAATGAGGACTGAAGGGTGAGAGTCAGGATGTAGGAGATGTTTACTTTCATTTTATGTTTCTACCTTTCAACGTATGTCCTATTGTTGTTGTCGATATTTTCATTTTCGAATTTAATTAATTGAATCTTTTCATGAAGATTTAGAAATCTATTCATATTTAGTTTTTAAAGTCATTTCTAATCTTTTGAAAACCTTAAGCTGATCGTTGTTGTTTTGCGAACTAGCTTCTAAAAAATATCTATTTTTAATGTGCACAAAGTTTAATAGTGTCTACTCAAAGACGGAGCTGGACAGATTTTTTGTAATGGGTTGGGCAAGTTCATTTTCGACACAAAACTGGCGAAAATTTGGCAAAAACAATAGAACAAAAGGAGCTTGCTAAATTAAAATGGCGATTGAGATAAAAATTTCAATATTGAATGGTCGAAATTTGAAGTGAGGTTATCGAATATACGGAAAATCTAGCTTTATCATATAAAATCATAAAAAATCAACTTTTTAAGGTAGGTATGGAGAAAGATAAGCTGATTAGATGAAATCTGCTTATTCGTCGTTAGTTGAAAGTCAGGAAAAGACAAGTTCAGTAAAAATTGTCACGAAAAATACGTATTTTTCTTTCTCTACATTAAACGGACCATTGAAATAGGTGAACATAGAGGAACTACTTAATATAAGACAGATTAAATTTTGAGAGAGAAAAAATTAATAGAAAAAGAGCGTGTGCCTCTAGAATATTGTTGCATGTACGAAAAATGGTAGTTCGGCTAAGATTTTGGATTCCATGTAATCAGATTGGAACAGATATTTTTCAAGTTGCTTCCGCTATGTTCTAAACAAAATCAGGTGGCTGTTGTGGAAAACCTCTGACGACTGCCACTCGAGGCTAAAATTCCAAGCAACAGGCCGGAACATAATGGAGATGACTGTTTCAAACGACTTCCGATCAATTCCTGATTGCTCTAGCAGCCGGAGTGATAAGTATACGCTTTCTTCCCTTAAAGTTTTTGTCTTTCCCTAATTAACACGATCATCGCATCCGATATGTTATTGTCCTTGAAAGTGAAGTTGTTCACTTGAAGAACAACTAGTCCGTAGTTCTTTCTATCTTTTTCTCATTCGGGTTATCATTTTAATCATCTCCCAACTCAGAAATGAAAAAACACTCGCTTTTCGTTGAAAAATGATCAGATACAAGAGAAAATTTTGCAATGATGAACTAGCAAAAATTCGTCTCCTGTCTTTCCGGACTGGAGCCGAATTGCCCAATCGATTCCAACTCTGAGTTACTATTCATTTTAGATATTATGACGTATTATATATGAGATCAGATACAAGAGAGTTGAAAATAAGTGAAGCTTTTTCGATCAATTTTTCACAGAAATTATTTATGTTAGCTAAACTGATAAATATATTTTCTAAAGATAATATTTTTGTATTTTATAGGGTGAGTTACATAATTTGAAGTGTTTCTCATTAACATCCTATGATCTTATTATGAATTATGACGATTTGGTTGTACCGCTTTTTCGTCGTATGACGCATCTTGAAAAGTTAACTTTGTATTTTCGTATTCTTCATCGAAATGCATTCGTCGATGGCACACATCTCCAGAATGAAATTCTTGCTCATATGCCTCAACTTCATACATTCACCTTTTATATTAGTACACAAGAAGTCATTTTTTCTTCATTTCCTCGTAAATCTAATTCAGATATTGAACGAACATTTACAAATATTAGATATGGACAAACGGCTTGTATTATAGATTCTTTCAGCGGAGATCATGAGGCCATATGTCATGTTTACTCGCTTCCATTTACATTCACTCGTCTGGAAACGATTACGACTCATTTTCCATTTATTGTATTTGATACTGTAACTATTTTGTCTGCCTATGATATGATTCCAATGCAACATGAATTCTTTATGCGTATTAGTCAAGCATTTCCAATGCTTAAGTATTTTTCTATGAAGAATGAAAGAAGCCAGTCATTGATATGTGATGAATGGAAATCTGATAAGAATTCATCTTATTCAATTATTG